GGAATTTCCTCTATAACATACAACATTAATAGCTGACATTTGTCTAGTGCTTTCAAATTTACAGAGCACTTTACTAATATCATTTCATCTGATTTCCCCAATAACGGTCATCTAGCCTCTGCTTGAAGACTTCATGTTAGAAGAAGCCCATGACCTCCCCCAAGGCAAGCCATTACATTTTTGGATCATTCCAAATGTTAGCAAGTTTTTTCCATTACGTCAAGTCCTACCTCTCAGAGACTTCCACCCTAGCTCCTTATTCTCCCCTGTTCACAGCACAAGACCCACCTATGGAAACTTCCCCCATGTTTTTTTTTTCCTTCCCAAGATTTCAGCATCCTACAGAAATGGAGATTTCATCTTAGCTACAAAGAAGTCATTGGTGGCTCCACCACAAAAGTTGTAGTAAAATATTTTTTTCTCTCTCTAAAGTTAAGCAATGAAGCTACCGCCCAGACACCATCTCTTAGCTTGGCACTGTACATCTTGTCTCTAGGTGCTGGCATCTTTTTGTATAGTGTCACTGCAGTGCAAAATAGGTATGCAAGCTCACAAGGTAACAGAATAACAGTTTTCATTATTTTAAAAAGCTATTCCTACAACATCCTTGTGATAGAAGTATATTATTATTTCTATTTTACAATGAGCAAACTGAATCTCAGAGAGGCTAAATGACTTGCTCTTGATCACACAATTATCAATGGGCAAAAACCAAGACTCAAATCTAGGACCTCTGATGTCAAGTCCAGTACTAATTCTGCTAAATCAGGTTGCCTCCAGAGATTTCTGGAGTTCCCATACTCTAGTTCAGGCCCTGGCTGCTGGGCAAAAAAAAAGCTAAACCCTCCCTGACATGTAAGACTCTGTCATTCTATTAATCACATTGAGAGAAATATTTTCTATTCCACTAGTAAATGCCTGTCAGACCCCAAAGTAAGGAAAAGTAAGACCCTCCCCCCATAAAACCCTCCACCATAACTAGGCCATGACTCAAGTGGTATTCCTTCCATGAAACAGTTATTTATTTCTTGAGTAGACTACAAAACTACAAAAACAACTGCTTTTAGTAGATGAGAACAGTTATTATTAAATTGTAATTCCTTAAATTACTATGCAAAGACCAGCACTTAGCATAGTGACTGGTACATAGTAGGTACTTAATAAATGTTGGTTTACTTGATTTATAAATAGTTATGGCAGGGACCCTCCCTAAAGCCACTGTTCTTGAGAAGCTAGGTGTCACAGTGGATAGAGTGCTGGGCCTGAAAGCAAGACTTAAGTTCAAATCTAGCCTCAGAGACTTACTAGCTATATGACTCTGGGCAAGTCACTTAATCTCCCTGTTTGCCTTAGTTTCCACAACTGCAAAAAAAAAAAAAATAAGGATATTAACAGCACCTGCCTCACAGGGTTGTTGTGAGGATAAAGTGAGCCAATATTTGTAAAACACTTAGCTCAGTGCCCAGCACCATAGTAGGTGTTACAAAAAATGTTAGCTGCTATTATTATTATTATTATTGACTACAGTAAAAAAATATATATTTGACTATAAGCAAGAGGGGACAAACCATGTACAGAGCAGCAGTTCCAGGTGTTGAGCATTGTCACAGAGCTCAGCTTTAGCCATTCCAAGAGTTGGCCTTTGATCTTAGATACCCACTTCTAGACACCCAAGTCCAAACGTCCTGGTACAAATTCTCTTTTGTTTGCTTCCTCAAAAGTCTGTATTCTCCTTCCAGGTCAAATTCTTTTTCCATTCTCCTAGCGACTCTGTCCTCTTAGCTATCTTCCTTGGGCAGCGAGGTGGCACGGTGGATAGCAAGTAGGCCTGGAGTCAAGAAGACCTGAGTTCAAATTTAGCCTCAGATGCTTACTAGCTGTGTGACCTTGGGCAAGTCACTTAACCCTGTTTGCTGCAGTTTCCCCATCTATAAAATGAGCTGGAGAAGGAAATGGCAAACCACTCCAGGATAAGCCAAGATAACCCCAAATGGGGTCATGGAGAGTCAGACACAACTCAATAACAAGCCATCCTCTTCTAGACTCTAGCTTTTACTGAATAATCTACCTCACTCTGCTCCCTGAAGATGATGTTTCTTCTAAAGAAACTAGGTGGGGCAGTAATAGATTGCTGGACCTGGAGCCAGACATGGGTTTACATCCCTGCCTCAGACATTGACTAGCTTTTTGGCCATTAACCTGTCCTAGTCTCAGTTTCTTCATCTGTAAAATTGAGATGGTAATAATAGCACCTACTTCACAGGGTTGATGTGACGATCAGTGAGATTTCATAAGTATAGAGGTGAGGATCAATGAGTTTATCTATATATACATACATATGTATATGTATATATGCATATAGAGGTTATATATGTATATGTATGTACATATATGTATATGTGTGTATGCATATACATGTATAGTATTATACATATAAAGTGCTTTGCAAACCTTAAATTCTATTGTATATAAATTCTATTATTATTTTGGCCATCTTTTTCCAGTCCAGCAAAGAAACAACTTTTTTTTCACTTTTCCAAACTGCCTTCCTGACTACCAAACCTCTAGATGTTTTGAGTTCTTTAAATCTGGATCTTTTGTTCTCCTCTGGGGAAGGTGAAGAGGCGTCATTTGTTTATTCATAAACAATTAATTTCTCTAATAATAATCAATAATAGCTCACATATACTTAATGCTCTGGGCATCTCTGCTCAAATTTCTAATTGGATTTTGCCTATACCTCACCTTGCTTTAATCACATTACATGTTGTATCATACTCATCTATTCACATCTTATCACCACTAGTAGATTAGGACAGAAATTGTGTTTTTTTGTTTTAATCTTTACACCCACTGAGTCTTACATATAATAGGAAGTTAATCCTTTAAGCAGTAAATCTATTAGACTTCAATCTGATAATAATTCTCCATTCTCTTTTCTCATCCTGGTTTTTTATTTCCCCCATCCATAGGCCTTTGGTCACACTAACTCCCATGCCTTGAATGGCCAGCCCACCCTCATGACCTATAGTTGAAGCCTTGCCTTCCTTCAAATCATATGACATCTCCCCTATAATGCTTTCCCCAAGTCCCCCAAGTATGAAAATGGTCTCCAAATGACTTTGACAGCTGTGTGAAGGTTGGATAAGAGTAGGGAGAGGCTAGATGTAGAGAAGATAAATGGAAAACTTGCAAAAGTCCAGGCGAGAGGTGATGAATGACTGAACAAACATGGTAGCTGGATGTGTGGAGAAGAAGCGGGGCGGGGAGGGGAAGATGTTGTGGAGATAAGCATGATCAGATTTTACTGTGTTTGGATATGTGGGGTGAGAGTGAGTAGCTGTCACTAGGTGACTGGGAAGACGGTGGGGTCTTTGACATGATAGAGAAGCTCCAAAGTGGGTGGGTTGTGAGTAGGGCAAGATAATGAGCTCTTTCTTGGACAAGCTGAGTTTGAGATGCCTGTGGGACATCCAGGTTGGAACAACTAATAAGCAGTTGGCGATATCTGCATAGTGATGGTAATAAAGCCCATGGGAGCTGATGAGATCATCAAGTGAAAGAGAATAGAAAGAAAAGAGAAGAGGGACAAAGTCAGAGCCATGTGGGCCGCCCACAATTAGGGGATTGTGACCTGGATCAAGATGCAGAAAGAGTGATTGAAAAGGAGTGGTCCTGTAGGAAGGAGGAGAACCAGAAAAAAACTGTGTCCCAAAAACCCAGAGAAGAGCAAGCAAGAGTAGAAGGTAGTTAATGGTGTCCAAATGAAACTAGATTGAACAGCAGGTGATATTCTGCATTGATGTTAGATGTTTCCTCACTGGGAATATCCCAATATATTACATAAACCAACGAAATCATAGGTCCAGACCAAAAGAAGAAAAAAAAAACTATTATAGTAGTCCTGACTTCATAGAGTTGTTTTGAGGATAAAATGAGATAATGTATATAAAGTGCTTTATAGAAAGGGGAGTTGTTATACTCTCTCAACCACCACACCCCCTTTAAAACAGCTCCCTTCATTGGCTTTCTCAGATGTGACTGTTCCAGGACACTGAAGTCTGGTACTTTATTTAGTCCTTTAGTCTACAAAGTCCCAGTCATTTAGACCAAGATTTATCTTTGGGATTCTATACATCTAGAGGTTCTTGAGGCAATAATGAAAAGTAGATAGACAGTAGAGAGAATAGACAGGAAAATTTATAACTCCTATTTTACTGAAAGGGTCTAGTTTTGTTCAGTTTTGGGTTTGCTTTTGATGTTTTGTTTTGTTTTTAAGCTGTTCTTTTCAATCTTTGCTTCTGAAAACTCATCACTGGATGAAGTTTTCATTAATTAATTAAGCTCAGATACTCAGCCATCTTAATCAAAAATATTTATTGAAGATTGGACAGAGCACACCAAGTCAGGCTTACAGTACCAGCCTGGGGTTTGTGTTTGTCCTGATAAGGCATTTGAAATCCCTCGCCCGACCCCACCCCGCCCCGCCCTGCCCCGCCTCTCCCCCAGTCCCACCTCCCCTCCCTAGTCCAGGAAGTTTGCTCTATTAAGCAGAACAAGGCTATTTTCAGTGAAGTTGGGTTTCCCCAGAGTGAATATTTTGTCCCTGGGAAGTAAGCGCATGAAAGAAACTGTTGGCACTCTCCTGGAGATGAAGCTGGGTGTTGAGAGAACGTTATACTTGAAGCCATGTACCTACGAGAAAGGGAGTGAGAGGGTGGTTCGGTGTGTGTGTGTGTGTGTGGGTGGGTGTGTGTGTGTGTGTGTGTGTGTGTGTGTGTACACTGATGGGGGAAAGAAAAGGCTCAGTTAGCTTTGCTTGTCCCCTACAGCACAAGAAAGTTAAGGCTGGCTCAGCACCAGAAAAAGAGAGAAAGAGGACAGAGACAGATAGACA